CTGAGTTCTCAGGAATGGCAACGCATGGGGGTATCATGGGCGAAACAGTAACTCTGTTATGTCCATGATACTGCTCGTGTGTATAGGCGACGGTTACCACTTTTCATCAGGTGGGCCGTTAGCTTATTTACCATTCTAAGTTGTATAAAAAAAAAGTTGTAAACCAATTAAGAGAATTCTTATTTTTTTTTTTTTATCTAAAAGGATACTCTTACAGATTGATTCCATAGATTTTTTTATTAAGTTCAGTAGATTTGTTTTTAAATCAAAATAACGGGTTTTTCCACAATTGATATCAATTTTTTTATTAATCACAATCTTTTATTATTGTTAAATTGAAAAACACGTTGTTTCTCAAGAATAGCATAGGCGTTGCAGTATATTCTGTGACACCCATGATTTTGTTCATGTTTATAAAGGCAGTTAATAAACTACTTATCTATACTTATAATAAACCTGTAGAGAGGTCAATTCTGTACATGAAATATATTTCCAAAATAACTATCCGCGGGTGATTAGTGATCGATACTGATGCCAAAAATGCAATCAGTAAAATTTTTGTCTGTCTGTCTGTATGTTCATTATAGAAACAAAAACTACCAACGGATTTTAACGAAAACGAAACTTGGTACAATTATTCTTCATACTCCTGGGCAGGTTATAGCATACTTTTCATCACGCTACGATCAATAGGAGCAAAGCAGTGAAGGGAAATGTTAAAAATGTCCACCCATGCGACGCCGGGACGGGCCGCTCGTATTATATATGTTTTAAACATATTTGTATGTTTGTTACTCAATCACGGTTAAACGGCTATAAGGATTCAAACAGTACACGAATAGGTAGTATCCTACCTTATAGGGATGGGTAATATACTGCAATATCTAGTATTAAAGATTGTATATATTGGCCCAACAAAAGATATGTTAAATATCGCTTGTACAATATATAATATTGAAATGAAGCACCCAATTGAAACGAACGGAGACATCCGACTGGCGTAGGCGATATAAAAATAGGGCGATGACCTTTTTTCCGCCATCAATTACCAGAGTAACCTAATATATAGATATCGGGGGGAAAGGCATTGTTAGTAATGGAGACTAAAAATCCTATTGCTAGCAATATACCCAACCAAGTCGACCTCCTCGCGGTTCCCCCTGGAAACTATCATGGTTAATTCCTGATGAATTCATCATGATGGGCTAACTGACCTGTTTTCATTCTCATCGATCACCCTTCACTGGTGATCCGCCAACGTATCCCGTTAGCGCAGGCGGGGTTACTATACCATTTTCACCCATCAAAAATATATATATATCGATATCGGAGCGGTGCGGATATTTTTTTTAATGGATGACAATTAAATGGTAACCAGGGGTGCCAGTGAAGGATGATAGGTGAGAATGAAGTCATGTCAGTTGGCCCATCACAACGAATTAAACGATAATTAATCACGATGGTTTCCAGGGGGAACCAGGTGGAGACCGACCTGACAGAATATATTGCTAGCAATTTACGTCCCTATTACTAACAAACCTTCTCCCCCCCAGTGCGGATATTACCCATGCCTACTACCTTAACACACAGGGTACTTTATATTGATTTACGCAGACGAAACCGCAACACGCAGTTAGTTTTTCATAAGGTAGACTATCAGCTTTTTTACTATATCAACAAGCATAAAAAATCCTTACTAATATTATAAATGTGAAAGTGAATTTGTTTGTTACCTTAACGGCTTAATATATCAATATGAAATTTGGTACACACCAAAAAATATAGGCTACATTTTTACCCGGTCAGTAAACATACAACGTCGACGAAACCGCAAGTAAAAACTAGTTTAATAATAAATTTGAAAATTTAGAAAAATGTTTGAATTTTTGTCTCAAACTCAGTCATGATTTTTTTCTTTATTTATTTCATCAGTCATGATTAAAGGAATAACTGAAATTTAGTACACGAGTAGGTAATACCCGAACTTAACACAAACTTATACAATTGTATCGTTGTGTTTGTAAATTGTCTTGCTTATTTCCTATATTGTATAATGCAAATAAAGTACACTCATTCATTCATTCAAACGACATTTCATATACTATTTTACACAAGCACAACCGCGGAACACAGCTAGATTAATAAAAAATACTTAGTTTATTTGTTTTTTATTGACTTACAACGTCACAATAACAAAATTATTACTTTGACATCGACATGTTTGTTATTCAGTTTGCCCTAAGATCTAGTCGTATCCTTGTGCCAAGTTTCATGTAGATCAGCTAAGATATGCGTCCGCTATATAGGACACATATTTCGCTATAAATACTTGTGAACCAATCCAAGTTCGTTGTACAAATAACTTTGGCTTGCACAAATGTTCTCATCATCATATCAAACTTTAACTGTCCATTGCTGAATATAAGCCACCCCGGGGGAAAGGGATTGTTAGTCATGGAGACTGAGAAACCCATTGCTAGCAATATATCCAACCAGGTCGACCTCCTCCCTGGAAACTATCATGGTTAATTCCTGATAAATTCATCATGATGGGCTAACTGGACTGTTTTCATTCTCATCTATCACCCTTCACTGGTGCTCCGCCAGCGTATTTCGTTAGCGCAGGCGGGGTTACCATACCATTTTCACCCATTAAAAAAAAATATAAGCCTCCCCCTTGGGGGGTTTTGCCAGTAGTTGCCACGCTTGGCAGGTGAAATGGTAACCGCAGTTAGGCTTTGGAGTTGTTTTAAAGGTTTTCGTAAATGGTTCCAGGGAAATCATTAATTACTAACATATAGCCCATCCATCATGTGATCTCGACTTAGAATAGAAGGGAAAAAAAGGGCTGACCACCCCTTTTTTCCCGTAAATCGTAAAAGGCGACTAAGGGAACTTAACGGTCGAGGTTTGGGCAGCAGGTTTCCTTTTCAAAGCAAAACATCAACAAAGCCTAACTGCGATTGCAAACCCACTTGTCAAACATGGCAACTATTAGCAAACCCCTTTATGGAGGAAGTTTATTATCAGCGGTCGACAATTAACACCTGATATGATGAGGATGATGGTATGACCCATGGCTTTGTGGGTCGATTTATATTTACTGCCAAAGACTCTTTCTATTTTATATTTTTTTATTTCCTAACACAGTTAAAACTCGTGTATATTTGAATATGTAATTGACTTATGTTTACACATTTTAACGAAACTGGTACGGCTGTAGATAATTAAAAAAAAACGCTAAATAAACTATTCTTTCAATTTTTGTATCATCTTTTTTATTATAAATACATTTTTAGTCTTATTATGTATTTATAAAATTAATATCAAACATAGACAACTTTTTTTAATGCTACTTAGAATGACAAGCTGACGGCCCACCTAATGGAAAGTGGTAACCGTCGCCTATAGACATGAGCAGTATCATTTATATAGCAGAGTATACTGTGTCACCAATGATACACCTCATTTGTTGTGATTCTAGGATTAAAGTGTTATACACCTGTAATTTCAATGCTATATCCCGCCTTTCAAACCGAAACACAGCCATACAAACACAACTGCTTCACGGCAGCAACACAAATGGAACAGAGGTACCCAGCAGACGACAATAAATATTTGTTATAAACCCTGAAGAAATTTAATTTAAGCATATTCACAATATTTTGGTATAAATTTACAGTTATGTAATGATAAAGACGTTCATTAAAAACGCAAAAGAAATATGCATTGTATAAGTTACTATTTCCCATGACTTTACCTGCGCGCATCAATATATAAAATATCTTATGTATTCAATTAGGATGTCACGTAATCGTGTACCAAATCTCAATAAAATCCATTCAGCTATTTAAGTGTGATTGAATGACAAACTTTATAACATTAGCAGAATCAGTTATTAATTGCCTCAATTCTTATAAGTTTCAATCTTAGTAATCGTAAAATTTATTATATTACATTTATTAGAATCAACACAAAATTCTCCTATTATCATAAATACGAAGGCTTGTGTAGATGGATGGATGTTTGTTACTCTTTCACATAAAATTACTAAACAGATTTTAATAAAATATAGGGGCACACATAGGTTATATCCTAACATGAAACATAGGATACTTACATAAAGGTTCACGCGGGCAAATCCGTGGGGTACAGTTAGTAATAAATAATAATGGATATAATAGTCTACGTTCATTACAACTCTCTACAACTGTAGAACATCGTATAAAACTATGCAAAGCAATCTACGGTAATAATATTATAATTCCATGTTACCCTTGTTAAATGTTTCTGAATAAACTTACTAATTTCTGCCATTTGCCCGTGTGAATCAGTAAATATAAATATATATGATAAAAATAAATAAATAAATATATCCTACGTGGTTAATTAAAATATAAACTAACTGTGCACCAAATCTCATTTAAATCCGTTCTATAGTTTTATCGTAATAAAATAACAAACATGCATTCATAAAAACATTCTAACAATATCTCGGGAAATAATTCGTATTTACAAGTTATATAAATAGAATATAAATTAAATACATTACAACAATATACAATCATTATTATTAATTCACCGTTCATCGTCATTTTTAATCGTTATTCTTTTCATTTCTTGTAATTATTTTTCGTATTTTATATAAAATAAATATATTTTTAACGCCAGAGTAGGTACGTTTACGCGTACATACACAACGAATTATAAAAATACGTCGATTTAATTTGAAGTATGCCATATCTGTGGTTACTCTGTACACAAGATAAAGAGGAAAGCTATTTTCCACAATTCGCGCGCAACATCAGAAAATAACAAATTCAAAAAGTATAACCGGCGCCATAAAAATAACAAGTTATTAACACAATTCAGAACTTTTAAATTAAATTCCCTTCTTATCTAAACCGCAAAGTATGATAATTTCCAACGAGTACAATCTAATTAAAATGGACCACACTTTAGGGATAAACATTTGAACTTTTACCAATAACAAAACTTACATTTTAGTGCGGCGATGTAGTGGAGCCAGCCAAACTGTAACACTTATTCGAACCATTCACTGAACACACTTTAAATTATGAGCGGCACGCGACATCGTAATGTCATCACTCGCGACCGAGAACAAATCGTCACAGACCACACGTCCGAAAACGACGGCTAATGCCGGGGCACTGAAGTTTCAGAGCTACGTTGAACGCTACAGGCAAGCTATGAAGGGCGAAATTTCCCTCCGCCCCTCCACGCTACCCCTAACGCAACGTTTCCGCCACTTTCCGCATTCGCGACTCAACGCACTGACACTTGAAGCGAAAATTATAGTCCTTTTTTAGTACTGTCAAGGCCTGTCACTTGCAAGATTACCATAGATTTATCGAGGGACACCCGTGAAAATAGTAAGCGGCCGTTCCAAACAAAATAAGGTGTTGCCCGATAAACTAATACACCGACCATTGTATGATACTGAGAAATGCGAGAACATTGGGTGAGGAGTGTAGGAACGTCGTTGAAACAAGTCCGGAAAAATCTATTTTAATATTATGTCTATATATAGACATAATAATAAAGTAGATTTTTCTGAACTACGGATATGTATAACGAGGAATTTTATGAACTTTGTCGGTTCTGATAATTGTTTTGACTATCCAGAATTCTTCTTCAAGGGACATACAGCACTTTGTATTACAGCATCTCTTCTCGCACTTCACTTCCCGTTATACATATATAATCATACATATACATTTATATACGAATAAAATAAGTTTTAAAAATAATATATAAAACTAACTGTAACGCATGGATTTATTCACGTGAATACGTTGATCTAAACAAAAATACATAAACACAATAAAAAAAAACACATATTAATCGAGAATATACATAAATATGATCCGTCATTGTCATAACAAGCATAATTGAGTAACAAATGACTTAACATCTGAATGTGTAAACTTTCACATTTATAATATTAATAGGATTCCCAAATGTCTTCAAACGTATTCCAAATCTCACCATAAATTATGTATTCCTGTCGCGATGTCACATAACAAGCCGAAAGTTAGTTTCTATGATATATTATTTCTGTGATATATTATTTTTATGATATATTATTTCTATGATATATCCTTTCCCGTGGGTGTCGTAAGAGGCAACTAAGGGAATTTAATGGCTAAAGTATGAGCAGCAGCGTCCCTCTCAAAACATCACCAAAACCTAATTGCGGTTACCAACCCGCCTGCTAAGCGTGACTACTGGCAAAACCCCCAATAGGATGAGGCCTATGTTCAGCAATGGACAGTTAACAGCTGATGAAATGCTGGGAATTTCTGTGATAGATAACACATTAAATTTAATACGTGTGTATTGAATTTAATGTGTTATCTATCTCATTAAATTCAATACACACGGATCCGCACATGATCTAATCAAAGCTTGAGTTAGAATATGACTTGTTGACAATCTATGATAAGCATGCCCCACTTCGACCAGTTTGGGTAAGACATCTACCTGCACCTTGATTAACAGACGACTTGAAAATAATCATGGCACTTAGGGATAGAGCTAAAAAATGTTTGCGACATCATCCTTTCGAAGTAGAGCGTGATAGATACGTGCAGTTGCACAACAAGTGCAGTAAACTATGTAGAGCTGCTAAACGAAAGTATGTTCATTCGGGAATTGAGAACTGTCCACCGAATAAACTGTGGAAGTTCTTGAAGAATTTGGGTGTGGGCAAACAGCAATACACAATGGGTGTTGTGCAATCAAGCAGTCGACACTAGCATAGATAGCCGGTAGCTGCAGTGCATGTTCCGATGCACACTTATTTGAGTTGAGAGCTATATTATCACCAAAGGTAATAGACATTTTGAATTCTATCAAATCTAAGGCAGTGAACAATAATAATATCAGTCTGGATATGTTGAAACCTATCAAGGATCTTATACTAGCCGTCATTATAAACTTTTCTCTTTCTACTGACACTTTTTGCACATCCTGAAAACTGGCGCATGTTATTCCTCTCCCTAAAAATCCAATCCGTCTACTTTCTCAGAATACCGACTTATCTAAATCCTTCCCGTACTTTTAAAGGTATTGGAACATTTTGTTCATCAACGCCTTACTAAATAACTTTATCGTAATGATTTCTTGAGCCAGTATCAGTCTGGTTTTCGTACTGGTCATAGCACGGTTACTGCACTGACAAAAAATACTGAGGATATTCGGCTTAATATTGACAAAAAGAATATTTTAATATTAGTGCTACTTGATCTTACCAGTCCTTTTAACATTGTGGACTTTGATGTACTTCTCGGTATTTTCTCCAAATTTAGATTCTCATCATTGGCTCTAGCCTAATTCCGATCATATCTTTCTGGCCGGCGTCAATTGGTACGTGTTGATGACTGTTGTTCTGACTGGTGCGCGATTAATGCAGGTGTCCCTCAGGGTGGAGTTCTTTCGCCAGTACTTTTCTCAATTTTCATTAGCAGAATTACGTCTGCTCTCCCCTCTTCATTTCATTTGTATGCAGACGAGAAGCAATTATATAATATAGTGAATTATGTACAATAAATATTTTACAATACAATACAATACATCGTGCTGAATTCTAGATGTATCCATCACTAAGGGCTTACTGACGTGCTTTTTCATTCTCGCCTATGATCCCTCACTAGTGCCCCGTCAGCGTATACCGTTAGCGCAGGCGGACTAATAATTCAATTCAATTTATTCACTTTACAGAACTAAACCGATTCCATTATTGTAGCCTTTTTTATACAACTTAGAATGTCAAATAAGCTTACGCCCTACCTAATGGAAAGTAATAACCGTCATCTACATACATGAGCACCATAGACATAGCAGAGTGTGCTAAAGCTAAACTTTGGATACTTACTAATATTAATAAAAACCCACTCATCGTTAAGCTATCCCATTTTTTTCAGTGCGCTGTCATAGTGAATTACTCTCCTCATAAGTCTCAATTTACTCTCCTCACTCCACAAATCTTCAACCCATCGTTTTACAAACACGTCTATAAATACTCTATCTATTCCTAAGACAGACAGACATGGGAAAAACATATGCATATGTAAAATAATATTATAAAGAGGAAATATTTGATTTTTTTTTTTCATTTATTTGAGAAAACTAACAGTGACAAAATAAAGAATAATGCATAATATTAATCAAAGAAAACATTGAGTAAATTTGCCACCAACACCGTTTACCACAGTTTCGATTCAAGTATAATACAAATAGCTTAAGCAAAGAAGAACAGTTAAAAATTACACGAATCTTTTAGAGATTAGCTTTTTAAAAGTGCTTGGGCGTTCATTAATAATATCAACATCATTAAATAAATTAATCATTTTTGTTTGTAATGAATAAACTTCACCTAGAGAGAAAAATAGAAAGCTATATTATCAGCAAATACCATATAAGATCGGCGAAGGAACCGTTACCTAACACTATCTAACGGGGGAAAGGGATTGTTAATAATTCCATTGCTAGCAATATATTGGATTAATATAGTTGGATTTAAATATATTGACACAAGTAATTGTATAAATATTAATTTGAAATAATTTTATATTAGAATTTTTATCGATCTTAATTATATTAAAATTATAAAATTGTTTGATGGATACAACTTATAAACATTTTCATACTAACATATTAAATATGGCAAAACATACTGAACATTAAAAAACAACCTATAACATCATCATATCTATGTTTCTGACAAATAAATTATTATTATTATTATAAATATACCCTCTCAAGTAGACCTCCACGCGGTTCCCGTTAGAAACCATAATGGTTCATTCTTGCCGAATTCATTATGGTAGGCCAACAGACCTGCATTCATTCTCACCTATCATCTTCCACTGGTGCCTCATCGGTGTATACCGATACCGCGGGCGAGGTTACCATTCCATTTTCACCCATTAAAAAAAAAACACTATCCAACAAAAACAACTGGAGAGATGGAATTGTTAATAATGGAAATTAGTAGCCCCATTGCTAGCAATACGAGGTGTATTCTTACATACATAGATCTCCTTGTGATTCTCCCTGGAAACCATCGCGCTCAGTTTCAAGTGAATTCATCACGATAGACTAACTGACCAGCCTTTTCATCCTCACCTACCTCCTCTCACTGGTACTCGTTCCTCACCAGTGTACACCGTTAGCGCAGTCGAGATTACCACATTTAGATAAATATCTAAATGTTTGTTACTTTTATTAAACTTTGTTTTGTATTCCTAAAGTTGTCCTCTCCAACCGAAGTCAATGTTTCCTTTACAAATTCATTCATTCTTTTTATTAGGTACTTTTCTCTGTTACTTCGAGCGATCATGCGATTAAACCTTCCCCATTGCTCTGTCCGCTTAAAAATATTGTCTGTCGACTTTTATCTGATGACTTTGTTGAATCCATTAATCTGTGCAGACTCTACAGTCATTAATCACTACCTCGTAATGTCATTTAATCGTTGTGCGGCTTGTTAAATCTTACCTACATTAGGCTTCAAAAACTTTTGCGGAACTTTCCTGAGTCTAAAAAAATCTTAGTAGAAATAAGATCATTAGTTTGTAGTTTCGTATATTATCGTATATACCTAGTTTTTTATACTATATTGACGATATACAAACATACTAGCTGGAGGTAATTAGTCATCGTATATCTTGGACGATTGTAACACTAGAGGTGTGGGGGGAAAGGGATTGTTAGTTATGGAGACTGAAAATCCCATTGTTAACAATATAACTAACCAGGTCGACCTCCTCGCGGTTCCCCCTGGAAACTATCATGGTTAATTCCTGATGAATTTATTATGATGGGCTAACTGGGCTGTTTTCATTCTCTTCAATCACCCTTCACTGGTGCTCCGCCAACGTATCCCGTTAGCGCAGGCGGGGTTACCATTCCATTTTCACCCATAAAAAAAAACACACTAGAGGTGTCATGTACATTACCAACTATGTAGAAACCATTTTTAAAGAAACCCATGTTGAAATATTCAGGAAGAACCTCAACAGAAAATATATTATACTCATAATTTATCTGTAGCAGATAATTTAAAATTTCTAAAAATAAAAATTGTATAGAATAGAATAGAATAGAATAGAAATCATTTATTCAAATAAACTTACATTGAAGCACTTTTGAAAAGTCATTA